AAAGTTTGATAATAAAGAGAGAGAGAGAGAGAGAGATATTACAAATGCATAAAATGCTGACAATACACAACATCACAATTGTAGCAAAAAGCCAACGAAAACGTATAAATTTCCTTATCGAAGCAATGGAAGCTTGCAAAGATGCTTCGCTTTTGTTTCTAAAAATATTTTAGTTTAACAATTTAATTTAAATTCTAGCTTGCATCATCATCAGCAATGGGAATCTTTTTGAAAAAAGTAAATAAGTAAAACATGAATTCAATTATGTGTAATAACCTTTACATAAACCCAACAACTACTACCGCTTTTTTTTCTACACTACACCACTTGTGGCAAAGACGATTTGAATGAAAATTTTGCTTTAAATACTGAGCGATTGAAAACAGGCACTCAGACAGTTTAACCTACAGTCGAAAGGATCGGGTACATTTCTGAATAACGTAAAATGACATTAGTGCTGCAAGAATTGTCTGGTATATGTCGCTTAGTGTGAGGACGATTTTAGTGATTTTGTCAAATGATTTTACTTGAAAACACAAGTATTTAGGTTTATTCGAAAGTGATCTTTTTTTTTTAATATTTTTGCTTTTTGGGACTTGTACTCATCACCATTATAAATAATTCAAAATGTACCTAAAACGGTACACGTACGGTAAAAATAGCTTATGCTTATAAAGAGTTTGACATGTTGCATGGTAAACGAAATTATCCGTTTTCGACTTTTATCTACGAAGATTGTAAAGAGAACCAAGAGACCGACGAAATTTCTTCTCACATACAAAGTACTTTTTCAAAAACGCAACAGATAAAACATATTTGATTTAAAATATGATTTCATTCAATCAGGTTGTATGGCCGTGCAGGTACCTTCCAAACTGACGTCCGAATCTTCGGTACTGACGTTAAGCCTACTCTCGTATTCGTTAATAGTCACTTCCTACTATGTATTCTATATTCATCCAAATAAGCGACTTTACCCTTCATTTTCTCCGCACCAATATACACACATTTAAAAATATTTTTTTTTTTTTCAAGTAAACGTGTTTGGGTGTATTACGCGTGTCATGCCTCACATGCTCTTTGTTAGTGCATTTATCGGGTATACGTAGACGTTGACCGACAAATGACAATTAATTAAAATTAAAAGAAACAAAAAATAATAAAAAAAAAAAAATTCTTAATAGCATTGAATGCAATTGTGTAAACCTACTAAAATACGCACACATAACGCATATGTGTTCACCCGTTCATATTTGTTTATGCCGTTAAACATTTTCTAAATACATTATCAACGCAATCTGACGTCATTTTTAATGGAAAATTGTTTTCTTATATTTTTAATCACACTACTGCGACTTTTGCTATACATACCATACATACATACCATATGTATGCCAACTGTATCCATCAAACATTTAATGAGAGGAAAACTTTAAAGCGATTTAATCATATTCGGCCTTTTTTGTAAAAACATAAAAAGTCTTGAATCGTTCAACGCATTTCGAACATAATTTTACTTTTTTTGTTATAGAGTTTTTTTTTTTTTTTTTTAAACAGGTTTCTAAAGTTAAAACTTTATCTAGAAACGGAAAAATTTAGTTAATTAAAAATCTTTGTTCCTTATATAGATTAGCTTAAATTTCCTATTCGGTTAATATCAGAGATGCAATATGGAAATTTAGCATTGTTTGTTTATCTCTCTTCATATTCATGCAGTTTATATGTGCTAATCTTACGAAAATCCGACTCCAAAGGGCGTCGCATTTTTGGGTGAGAAGAGTGGGAAGGATGAGAAGAAGTTGCAGCATGGGTTTAACGTGACTTCCTGCCAGTAGGGCTTAACCTCACGGTGGCCCATGCTACGGGGGTTATTAAGGGTAACCCACGCCCCCTGGCGAGTTAGACAATCCCTATAAACTAGGGGCCTAAACAGCACCAGAGACCAGATAGTTATTGCGTATGGCACAATAACCCACTCTGGTCAGTGGGAAGGATGAGAAGAAGGAATCATCAGGAAGCCCACAAAGTATATAAATTCGTGTTCAGCATCAAACCTTAAATTAATTTAGATATGTCCATCTGTCCGCTTGTACATTCGCCTGTTGTTCTACCTGTCCGCATAATATCTTTGATAAACATTCTCCTAATCGTACAATCTTGAAATCTTGACAGCTACATTGAAAGTTCCTCCCAACAAGTTGGTATTGAAAATCAGGTTCATAGACACGCCTACAGTTCAACATAATATGAGTACAACTCTGTTTCCATCCCGTTGTGTGCTGATTACTAATAAAGCAAAACAAATGCATTAATTAAAATTTGCACATACATGGTATGAGTAGTCCTACAGCACCTATGTCAAGTAGAAAACGTCAGCCACGCCTAACCAATATTATAGAATATTGAAATTTCATTCTTTTCTCAAAACAGAAAAAAAGTTGTGAAACTCAAATTGTGAAACTTTTGGGAAGTGTTTGCCAATTTGTCTGCCCATCGCTCGTTAATTGTTGCGGTAAACGTAGTCCTGCCTCAAATCTAGCAAAACCATTGGAAGTTATTGCATGCAAGTTGTTATTGAAAATGAAGAAAATCGTTAAAAGGCACGCCCACAATATATTACAAATTGAAAACATTTCGGCTTTCCGGGTTTGGTCCCCTACGATAAAAATATATTCCGTATATTCTGTAATAATGACGAAAGTCAGTCACGCGCACCTAATATTATGATGTATGGGAATTTCGTTTTTTCCAGTTTCCCCTTTACCCATTTTCAAAGACGGCGATGTATAAAAGATTCGGATATAAAAGATCACAGCTGAATATAATTTTCTTATTTGTTCTTTCGTACAATGTTTAGTTTTATTTATTTTTTTTTTTTTGGGTAACCTTTCGACTTGCACCATGTTCCTACCATATACATGAAACATGAAACATGATCTTGAAGCACGACTCACGATCGACAGGAAAAATAATGCTTCTCGCTTCTGAGGTGATACATAATTCGACGTATTTAGCTCTTCGGCGTAAAGCCCCAAAAAAATACTAGAGAAAGCATTTGATTGCGCACACACACACTCTCTGTAATGACAGTCTTTCGAAAAATTGAGCGATAAGCTTGAATGGAATTAGTAGAATTTCCGTCCGTCGGTCTGCAGTCGAAAGGGTTTTTAAATGTATATTAACATATATATTTGACCATATATATATAACATTGTAGCTCAATTAGAGTTAATTAAGAATTGAGCGGTAAATTTTTAAGCTACTTGGAGTCTTCATTTAAGATTCTCATGACCTGGAACCTATTTTTAAAAATGAAATAAAATTACTAGCAAAAAAAAATAAAAAAAAAATGAAATGTAAATTTCCAAGTATTTCTCAGCTAAAACATGAAATGTGAAATGTATTTCTATTTTAGAAGCGAAAATTGAAGAAACTTTGTTTTGAAAGCAGAAATGCAACGGTTTCACTTCATGGCCAACAAGAATTTCGAAATAAAAACAACTTAAAAAATATGTATAAAAAAAAAAAAATAAATAAAATAAACTAAAAGAGAGAATAACGAAAAATTTCGTATGTTTTGGTTTTTTAATGTTAAGAATAAGGATAAATATTTACGAATGTGTATTAAACACACAAAAAACTGACCGCTTTTGCTGTCTATATATATAAAAAGGTATACAAATAAACGTATATATTATATATATAAATATATATATATATATGCAATTGAGTAAATAATGAAATGTATACAATGGATTTGTTGCTGGTCAGTGTTTTTATATATACATATATATATATATATATATATATATCTATATATACATATATATATTTAGTTATGCATAGAGAGGCAACAGTTAAAAAGGCCTACAGCGACGACAAGAGGAGGAGGCAAAGTAAATAAGAAAAACGTTAAAAACACGTATGCATATGGCGTATAGTGTTTTTGTATAGTGTATGTGCATGTAATGGCCAAAAGGCAGAAAACAAAGTAAACCATGAAAAGCAGGAATTGAAAATATAGCGATACACAGAGCGCAAAAACTAATGAGACATAATAATACAAACAGCACTTATTTAATACATGTGCACCAATAAGCGGCAACTTTAGCAGAGACGTAGTTTTCCGCCACAATTTTCGAAAAAAAGACACAACTGTGTTCATTCGCATAAGAACGATGAGACTGGATGTCAATTTATCGTTTTAAAATATATGAAGATATTGAGCTGGTGATGGCCGATTTACAAAGATTCGATATATGAAAAGGTATTTGGGTTTAGAAAGCTTTGACTTGAAGTTTACAAGGGCGAAATAAAGCCTCATTTCTATATGAAGCAACGTAATCAAGTCAAAGCATACAGTTTAGTGAATTCATTTTCTAAACATTTATGAATCAGAAGAAAATTGCATAGACGAGAACAGAGAAGTTTTTTAACTTCATCCTCTGTCGCCGATTTCAAATTGCGTAAGTTCAATTTTAGCTTCGACCTAAAGCGAAATTATGCATCCAACCTCGTACATACAAAATTTATCTCTCAAGAGAGAAGATAGCAAATGCTAAGATAGAAAGGGAGAGAGAGAGAGAGAGACAGAGAGTAAGAGAGAAAAAGAAAGAGGGAGAGAGAGAGAAAAAGAGAATCATAAATTTACACGAACACATTTATAAAAGGTGAACATGTTTCTATACGTGTAGAGATGCATTTGTATTCGCCGATGACTTCAGTTATTGTATCTGTGAAATTAGACTATGAAGTCATACTATGTCGTTGTTGATTTCATCGTCAATATTTTATTCTTTTTTTTTAGACATTTTTTTTTTTCTTTTTTTTTTTTTGCTACCCTGTATGTTTGTACTTTCGTTTAATGTTTAATCAATGCCAGAATACATTGTCTAGCCTTTGCGGTTGCGACTATTAGCAAATTTAAATATGTTATTAAGCCAGAGCTTAAAAAATATTTTAAAAAACTATATTCATACAATTTTTTTTGAATTGTTTACCTTTTTTTTTCTCTTGTAAGATGTTATTTTCCTTTTAGCGTTTACTTCTTTCTATCAAATAATTAAAGCTGAAAAGATACCGCTTTTTTCGTAAAGAAAACTGGCTTGACTGGTTTATGTATAAACATATACATATATATATATATATATATATATGTATATTAAAATTTAAAATTTTTTAATTTACTTAAAATTTTTCTTATTGTTTATCATACTTTTCGTTGGGCTTTTCTTTAATGTTATTTTCTGTTTATTAATTTTCACTTCTCGAAGTGTTGAACAAGAATGTTACCGAAAAACCTATACATAAATATGTTTTCATTAAATTTCTATTAATTTTCTTTTATCTGTATATAAAAAGCAAAAAAAAAAAAGAAAACAAAACACCAAAGGATCAATTAAAATAAATTTATGCCATTTTTTTGTTTTAATTTCTGCTTTAATTTTTTTTGTTTTTATTCTTTTTTTGTAATAACTCATATATGTAAATGCACAGCAATCTATTTGCATATATAGATATATTTTCTCTTTTATTTTTACAAAAAAAAAAAAAAAAAAAAAATTAAACACGGTGCTGCTGTTCCTTACGGTACGCAAGCCAAACTAACTTTTCACTACAACAATGAGAGATGCAAACGCCACGAAAATTCGCTCGTAACTGATTTAATGAAATATTCCAACAGCTCGATTTGCCGCTCACTAAAGCAACTTGAAATACAGTGAATGACTCTTCACTAGATACATGTACTAGTGGATATACATTTACAAGGGCTCTTAGTATAGTGCTCTCTTGCAATTGATGATGACTTGGTTTACCCTAAAAATCTAATTGGAAATTATGTTCGTATTTGTATCAGTTTTCATACTTCGATTTCCGGAAGTCTGTCTACATCGTTCTGTTGGTTGTTACTCATCATCAAGATGAATATTGTTTTTTTTTTCTTTTTTTTTTTGTTATAAGCGATTCTTGATTAGAAGTATATTAATTCTTTGGCTTTGTGCGTAACGCCATAAAAATAATCCCGTTTTAGTTATTTTTCCATTTCTTGATTGTTGGTTCTTTTTTAAAGGCACGAAACCCGAACTCTAATTCCTTCTACAGTTCCAAACTAATTTGCAAGCATCCTGTTAAAATATGCATTTTCTTTCCCACTTCAGCCCTACTCGCCTATTTACTTTCCGTTATTTAATAACCCACTTAACAAATTTTGACATGTAGGACTTAACATCGTAGGTCCATCTATAGGCGAAAGGTTGAAAAACCTTTGAAGGAAGAGAAAATTTCTACATTTTGTTGTTCACCGCTTAAGATCTATGTAGGAAATCGATTTGATATCAATGTTTAGTCGAACTACAGGCATAGATGATATGAAAATAATTTCCATCAATTTGTAATGAGTGGTAAAGAGAGATCAACAACTACAATAATATTAAGAAATATCGTATTAAAGTTCTAGAAATTGAATTTTTTATATCCTTCGCATTCTTTACTTTAGTTTCCTTTAAGTTAAATATTTCTTAGTAGACGTTTGACTAACGGAGATCTTTATACCGCATATAAAGTTCGTTGTTAGCCGCACGTACATTAACTAAAGTTGAACGCAGTCTCGCACTCTGCACTCTCGCTCTTTCGCTCTTTTTCGTAGTAATTATACAAAACATAGATTTTGCATTTTTCTGTCTCTCCGTCTTTCTCTCATATATATAACTTATTGTATTTCTCCTTCAGATTCGGTACAGTTCTAATGTTTCTTGTTATTTTTGTATGTTTACATTTTATTTGCTTGTTTCTGGATTTGCTTGCGCAAAGTGGTTAATTTTTTTGCAATAAAAGATTTTTAATAGGGCATTTTTTCCGTATTTGTGGGGATTGCGCGCTAAACAAACTTGCCGTTGATGTAGATTGCAATGCTGGACACAAACCGGGACTAACTTTGAACGCAATGGTCAGCTCTGTCAGTAACATTTGTTAATTCATTTTGTATCATTCTCGTTAAAAAAAAAAACAAAAACCTGCAGGGTATTCACGTTTTTGATAGCTAGCTTCCAAGTGCCAAGTCTATATTTGATAAGCGTTTTTATTTCATTCACGTAAGACTTTCGCATAATTTTCAATGCTATCATTCTGTTTATATATATTTGTGATTATCGAAATGCAAAAATAACAATTCGAACAACAGAACGAACAAAGTTGCTAAAGTTTGTATAACAAGTATGATCTATTTACCGACGGCTTTGCGTAGAATTTAACGTTGAATTTGCCGACGGCTTTTCAAATTAGAATAGAGGTTCACCGATGGCTCTGCAAATAGCAGAGAATTTAGCTACTGCTTTGTTTAATTTGATAATAAAAAAAAAATTAGAGCGGTCTACTACTAGGCTAACTTGTAAAATTAAATAATTTTAGTTCGCGTATTTTCCAAAACACTAAACATCTAGGTTGCGTTCCGTTTCACGCTTAATTTATAAACAACCATTTGGTTCCGACTCGTTTCACGCTTAATTTATAAACCTACCATTTGGTTGCATAATACCATACTCAGATGTATTCCCAAGAAAAAATATTAAATTATTTAGGAAGAGATGTAAAAAAAAATTTTTTTTTTGAATAAACGTAATTATTAAAATCAAGTATTATATTGTTTTTGAAAACTTTGAGTTTAAAATTAAACGTTCATACTGTAGTTCTCCAGTTCCCAGATTCCTTCATCTTTATGTCACTTATATGGCAGTAGAGACACGACGGTTGGATTCGACCACGGATCAGTCGAATCTAAATGACTCATGTCACTTTAAAGGCCTAGGTTAGATTTTGGTTACTTTATGGGCTGAGCATTCGCGAAATAAATTAGACGGTTGCGGCATGTATTTATACGGTGTTGTGATAGAAGAGCAAAACCGACCAAATCAACGAAAAAAAGAATCGGAAGGGCGGAGGTACAGCTCTCACATTACCAGCCGGGGTCCTTAAAAATGAGTGCACTCCGCCATTGATGCCACCTCCCAACCAGGATGGAGGCAACAGGTTTGCTTCATTTATTATGGGGCTGCGGAAGTTGCTGCTTATACCACTGTCAGTCATTATACCATTTACCACTCTTTACTTTTATTACTTATTTTTATTATTATTTATTATGAATTTTTGCTTTGAAATTTTTAATATATCTCTTAGATTTGCATACGTTTAATAGGCAATCAGCAATAAATATTTTACTTGATGTAATTTTTCATATGCGAATATGCGCGTTAATGAAATATCTTTTCTCAAGATTTCCCTGAATATCAGCAACGTCCACGATATGTCAACTTGGGGCTGTTTAGTAGAATTCTTTTACATTTTTCAATCGGTCTTCAATTACGTCTGTGGATGGTCAACTTTTTATCCAAGGATGTACATGTAATTTGCACAGACAGAGTTAAAACATCCCCGTACTCCTCAATCTCTATACGGCTAAATTGCATGACCTTCAAGAAGACAAAACTTATATTTTTCAATACGATGACGATTTCTTAATTTTGTCTACTGATTCATCGTTTTCAGTGGCCGGGAATGATCCCTCGACAATTCGAATTGCAAAATATAACAATTGGTTCTTCTTCTTGATAAATTAACAAACAAAGCAACTATTGATGAAATACCATACCATAAATTTGACTAAATGGGTGCATATAGAGATTTAAAAATTTACTGAGAAGGAAATGGCCACTTCTAATGTAAGAATCTTCACCCGCTTGAATAAATACAAATCAGCTTTCAATGAATTAATTAAATTAACGAAGTTAACGTTTATATTATTTCTTACGGCAACAGATGTACGCCTTTGCGTCTTCGCGTACGTTTAGCTCGAAGTCGGAATGTTGATAGGGAATCTCCTATCAAACCTTTCACTTATGTTCCGCTGAACATATTTAAAGGTTTGCAAACTAAACGAGGTTTTAATCTAACGGACAGGAAAGGCTTGCCATATTTTGGACAACGTTTCGTGCCGCCATCCTAATGGCTTTCAACAGTTTTTTTGCTCTAGTTCAGTAAGAAGAATTGTTAAGCTTTTCTTAAAGCACTATTGTTTCTAGTTTAGCTAAATGTGGCATATACTCATCGGTATTACTTTCATTATTTAATAAAGACAAATAATATTATGTAATAGAAGCACATAATCATTATGTTTTATGAGCCGCCCCCATAAAGTAAAATAGTTCTTCCATCAAAATACGCCAACGACCTTGGAAAATAAACTGACCTAATATAGGTTTTTGAATAATAATCTTTATAGAAAGTATTGTAGTCCTTTTTACCTGTATTCACTTATCATCTGTAAAGCATCATTAACCAAGGCTCTAACGTGTCTCTATTACCACCTAAAAATAATTGAAAGATATAAATACGTAGTGCTTTAAAAACGTTCACTACTTACCCCACATAATCGCCATCCCAAAACCAATTTTTCTTTCCCTTTAAAAAACAGAGGTTTTCTGAGTTTAGGTGGTGCTATGGGCGCGTCCTTGAAACGATTTGACCGATTTTCAATACCAACCTACGTGCAAGAACTTTCAATGTTTCTGCCAAATTTGAAGTCGATAGCTTTAGTTTTGCTGTCAGACGGAGAGACGGACATGTTTAAATCGACTTAGGATTTGATTCTTCACAAGCGTATGTATACTTTCTAGGATCTCTGATGCTTCTTTCCGGACGTTACAACCGTTTTGACCAAATGAATATACTCTTTGAATATATTCTTTGGTGATGCGTAAAAAAACAATCTATGTCTGCGTGGTTTTTTCACATACACACGCTTCTGTGTAGATCATAGCGCGCATTCACTTGACATCACAGAAATATGTGTACTTCTGCATTGTATGGGAGCTGGCAACAACAGATCAAGAAACCATTCACAGTATCTTTGGCCACACAATTAGGGAGAATGAGAGAGCGAGCAGCTAAATCTCTGCTAATTAACAGCAGTTACTACTGGCATTGATAACAAAAGCACATAAGTTTGTATTTCGTAGTTTGAAATTTGCACAAAATGTCGCGCCATCTTGTCACGAATTTCCTCTACAATTACTTTGATTATTGATTAAGAAATCGGGCTGATTCATTCTTTTATCTCGACCATTTTATCAGACAAAGAGTTTATGTCACATAATAATGTTAATAAATTGAAAGAATTTA